CCCTAATTATAAACCTAGTTACTAAGTCCCAGGATCCTCTAAGTAGACCCTAAAACCCCTCTTATAATGGAACCCCTATAGATCCCCTTTAAAGGAGCCCTTTAAAGCATAACCCTAGTTACTAAGTCCCATGATCCTCTAAGTAGCACTGGACCCGGCACCCGAAGCCCCGAACTCCAAATTTACTGGGTTCTTGTTAAGGAACTTAATTTAAGTTACCATAATAAGGAAACCCTATTATTTACGATAGATCCCTATTATGGTAACTTAAATTAAGTTCCTTAACAAGAACCCAGTTTAGGCCTTCAAGACTTCAAGCCCTGATCCTTCAGGGCTTTCATGTACTCTTGAAATCTTGACTTTAAAGCCCTATATCGACCGGGAGTAGGTTTACGGTTCGATACTCAAGAGCGAAGAACTGAACGGAAGCCATGGCTCGATTGATTGATGATTAATAAGCCATGTTGCTTTCATGGCCATCTGTTGCGAGTATTCAGAGGGGTACAGTTATAATTAGGCCCTCTGATCAAAACCAGAAGCCGTGGGATGGTGATAGGCTCAGACGCTAAGGAAGCTTAGACCCTCAACCCTAAACCCGAGACCCTAAACCCTAAACCCTAAACCCTCAGACGCTAAGGAAACTTAGACCCCTAAGCCTCAGCCCCAGCTCCCAGCCTGAAACGTTTCCTGGCCACCCAAAACCCTGAGCCTGAGACCCAAACTTTAGGGACCCAAAAAGGGATATCGCTACCCTATTAGGCTGCGTTATAAGGGGGTTATATGGGATATCCCTATCCTAATTTTTGCTCATGTGCCTTTTTGGGGCCCTGAAATTGCAAACTTTACATCCACAGCCCGGAACCCCCCCTTGCAAAATCCTGAGCCTCAGTATCCTGAGCCCTACAGATCCGCAGCTATGAACTCGAGGAGCATGAGTCTTACTGTTGCTGCGCCCTGAAGCCTCGAACAAAAGCACCAATCCCCGCCCAAAGCCGGCCCCGTGACTACTGTGGACCCTAAACCCTAGACCCTAAACCCTAAACCCTAAACCCTAAACCCTAAGAGAGCACGTTTCATGTTGCATCATGAGTATAATTTGGGTAGGGTTACCATCGACAGGCGAGACAAGCTTGTGTTTGGAGAGCCTGTCTGCGTGTCTCCCGTCTGCCAACCAGCTCGAAAGAATTCAGGACACTCAAGGCCCAGAACAGAAGACACTGAAGCGGTTTATAATTTCCTGGTGTTTGAAGCATTGTAACACGAATAACAGTAGTATTCGTAAAAGTACTAATGTTAATGACAATACCACAAAGTAACAATAATTCTTATTCTCATGCTCTGAAGAGGGGGTCTGCGAAACTTAAGCCGATTCACACTTTCCCGGGTCGCGGGTGTTTGCTCCACAGAAATCTTGGCGACGGTGTGTTTTTATGTGCGCACCTCCACTGGATGAAAGGTTGATTCTAAGCTGCGCTGGCGCAGTGTTGGTTTAGCGTTGTTCAGACGTTGCTTTGCGACATCTCCCGAAACTGCATAATACACGTGCCTAAATAATTACCTATACTATTTTGGGGTTCCTCATTATAGTTATAGTATAATGGGCCCCAAAACCCTGTTCTAATTATTAAGGCCAATATTACCGTGCTCCGGGCTAAGGAGCGGTATCAAAGCGGTGCCGTGGATCTTCATCTTCGTGATGCGCACACCTCAGGGGAGTTTGGAGGGACAGGGCGGAGATTCGTCGTCGGTGTTGCCCGACATCGGAAATGAGTTTAGGGTTTGGGGTTTATGGTTTAGGGCTTACTTAAAGGATCATGGGACTTAGTGACTAGGGTTATAATTAGGGTAACTATACTAATACTTATAGCCCCAATTGAGGTACTTACAACCTTACTTACTAAGTCCCATGATCCTCCCAGTAGGGTTTATGGTTTAGGGTTTAGGTGAGTCAGCTGCTCTCTTCCCTAAAGTCCTGAGACTCATTATTCCAATACACCTTTTGCAGAGCCAAAGCTGGAACACCAGTCGTCGTCCAGCACTTATCTTCAGAATACTTCGTGCACTAGGCTCCCAACTGTGAAGCTGCGGTCGCAAACTGAAAGTTCCCAAGCCCCAGACCTTTTACCCGCCTTGCCTCGAATCGAAGTGCTGAGCCCTCGAGCCGAAAGCGCTGGAACTCGTAGCCGGCTCACACAATCCTACTTAAAGGATCATGGGACTTAGGAACTAGGGTTATAATTAGTGTAACTAGACTTATAACCCCAATGAAGGTACTTATAACCTTACTTACTAAGTCCCATGATCCTCCAAGTAGACTCTTGCGAAGGGTTAAGGCCTGATTAGATCGGAGCATGGCACCCTTTTTTTACACTGTTTTGTTGGAGCTTCCTTGTTGAAACCTGACTACAGTAGAAAGACGGTAACCTTGCTATACATGGGCTACCGGTGAACCTGGCTGATCTTTTTCAAAAGCTGCAACTCCTAAACCAAAAGCCTTATAGACTTCTCAGTCCTAAACCCAAAGCCCCAAACGTACGCCAACATGCTGAATGCTCAATCCCTCAAACCTGAACCCCAATACTCCGAAACCCTTGGAACACTTATTAAAACCCTGCAAAACTTTTTTTCTTCCTACACAGCCAAACCCGCCGGGTTTCCCAGGTTCTACCTCTTCTTCACCCCTGCCTGCGGTGTGATGTACAACTGTGGCTGCCGGGTTTTCCCCGCCAAGTACGGCCAGGCGTCTACTGCATAAGGGAACTTGGGGCCGTTTCAGGAGATCTTTCGGGCGTCCATCAACTTTGTCAAAGCTGGGTAACATTTTACATTTTTATGGGTACTTAAACCCAATAAGGAATAAACATGTAAATCTTTAATGGTGATAATACAGGGGCCTTAATAATTAGAATAGGGTGTTGCGGCTCATTATACTATAACTATAATAAGGAACCCCAAAATAGTATTAATTGGTACTTATCTAACTCCCTACATTAGGGTGTTATTTGGGTTTGGGCTTCGCGCTGATGGTTTTATGGGGCGTCTCAGGGCTTTATCGGTTAGATAGCGTTGCATGGGGGGATTCGGATTCCCGGGTGTGCAGATGACGCTGTCGACCTGTTTCGGTATTGCGCAGGTAGGTCGTGATGGCTGCGATGGTGCATATGGGGATTATGCGAGCCCCACAAGCTCTTTGGAGTATGTGGGTGCAGTGCTTAGGGTTTTGTGCCGTTGGCTTGATCGTCAAGGTTTTAGGTTTGCGATGCAGGTTCAGGGTTTAGGTTTCTGCATTTAAGCAGCAAATTTTACCGGGTTTATGGTTTAGGTTGAGGGCTTGGGGCTTGAAGTTTGGGGCATAGGTTTCAGGCCAGAGGGTCTGGGCTTCCGAAAGCCTTGTAAAAAAGCCTGTAAGACCCTAGACCTAAGTACCGAAAGCTAATGTAACAGCTCGAAGCCACGAAGCCTGAAAGTACCGGATCCTCGCAGACTCAAAGAGGACCTTAAAGAGGAACATACAAAAGGCTTGACTAGTTCTCACCCTAAACCCTAAACCCTAAAGCCTAAACCGTAAACCCTAAACCCTAAACCCTAAACCCTGAAGCTTAGCGTAAACGGGCCCTCAATCAAAAGGGAGCCCAGAAGCTCCATCGCAGGTATCCACGTGTAACATCTTCACTCCGGGCCATCCGCCGGAGCACAAGCGCGGCTCCGAGGAGGGACTCTCAAGGGACCGTTTCGCAGATCTGTAGGGTCTAGCTACGTAAGGTTTCTAGAAAGCTCATGGGGCGTATAGGATTGTCAAATTGCCGTACAGGATTTTACTACGGGCTTCTGTGCGGTTTCACGTGCTTTTAAATCCTTTGGTTTTTTTGGTAGTCACTACCTAGTATCTTGAGAATAGAGCCTAGATGTTAGACCCCGTGCCGTGTTGTTGCTCTCTGTTTTAGCGATAGCTCTCGCCAGTGTGACCACCATTGCTACCATGGCATTACTGATTGTGAAGACGATTTTTAGTACTGTCCTAACTTTGTCAAAGTTGGGTAAGATTTTGCATTCTGATGGGTACTTAAACCCAATGAGGAATAAACATGTAAATTTTTAGTCCTATCCCAACCATGAACTAGCTCAGGACCAGTACGATCATAGTACGACAAAACAATAGTGAGACCGGGTTGCAGGTTGCGCAGGAGCAACTGTGATGGTTCAGGCGTCGAGTTGCATGGAGACTTAAGACCAATACTATTTTTGGGGGGCTCCTTACTATAATTCTAGTACAATGCGTTCCAAACCCTAGTCTACTTATTAAGGCCCCTATATGTACGTCAAGAGGATGCTTGAGTAGATCGGTCAGACCATGCGAACGAGGATCTTGTCCTCAGCGCTGAAACCTAGCGAAATCTCAGATAATCTCAGTAGTTGGAGCCAGGAAAGCCGCCATCAGCGGCTCTGTCTCGTGGTTTCCAAAGTCCCAGACCTCCTAAGCACCAGCAGTGATAAAGCCGAACACCTTTTCTTCTGCAAGGAGGCTAGTCTGAAGGAAGCTTTTTCAGATCATGGTCATGTTGGAACCGGCTGCCCTGAACTGACCATTCCCGTCAAAGTGTCCGATTTCGGGTAGCGTTTGGACCAGAGGCAAGGTTGTGACAAGAAGGGGGCTTTAGGTGCACTCGTGCCCAGCATGGTCCGCAACAGCAAACCGCGGGCTTGCCGATTTCTGGCAGTCATCGGCCTCATGTCGAGTTTGGCGCCACTCTTCGTTCCGTGGTTGCTCGGCAGCGTCGGGCATCCTTGGGCAACATGTCCTGCCCGCAGCCGCAAAGTTAGATGCCGAGTCATTCCGAAGTACGAAGATGTTGAGCTACCGTATGATGAAGAGCTGTATCTCGTGGTGAAGCGGGTGGCGCAGGCATGGGGGCAAACGAATGGCTTCGAGGACCTCGCAGAGAGCCTTAAACCCGACACTCCCTGGCGCGTGGAGGAGGTGAGGTGCCTTGTAGACGAGCATGCACGAAAGCTTCTACGCAACTGCACCACCAGAGTCGTCGGATCATACCAGCGTGATGTTCACAACATTTCACAACAAGGATTTCTCCGACGTGGACTTGCACATCCAAGATCTGACTCGAGAAGATATCACTCCGGAAGAGTTCGAATCCCTGTGTGGCCTTCTTAAACATGACCCGAGAGTGGACAGCTTCGAGCGAGGAAGTAAAGCACTTCGCTTGGAAGTTTTCGGTATGGACGTCGATGTAGTTTGCAGAGATCTCTTCGACGGTGATTCGCAGTTACATCGCCAGGGGCAAATCAACAAACTGAAGCAGCTGTACACGGATTATCCAGGTGCCAGGAATGCTGCTCGAGTTGCTAAGTGGCTTTTTCGGGATCTCAAGGGTCTGGATGTTGAGCATATAGTAAATGATTTGGCGCGGGACAGCAAGAAGTTGTGGCGCAATCGCCAAAAAGATTACTCAGGGTTGCAGCTCTTCGAAAAGGTTGTGATAGAGCTGGGCGGTCCTGCCCAGAGCAGATACTCTTCATTGAGGGAATTGAAGAGGAAGGCTCTTTCCCAACGCGGCAACACGACGACTCTAGACTTGGACAAAGCTTTAGCAAGGAGCCAAGTTCTTGCAACTTCGATCCACGAGATGCGCAAGATGAAGTCACACTCTTCTACGGAAGAGCTTCAGTCGTTGGAGGATCTTCCCCTGAGATGCTTGCTGATACAATACAAGTGCCTTGGCGGGACTCCGCGGCCTGATGGTGGGGCAAGCATACAGGTGCTACCGGACATGTCGCTGTGCCCAGAAGGTGCGAATTTGGGGGCCTCCATTGCTCCTGACTTGGGCACACCTCGCAAGACAAAGAGTGAGGCGCTGAGCCCGAAGCCACAGCTCAGAATCGATGGGGGGGCTGGCAGCAGCGACGTCGGCATTAGTTCTATTTCACCGACTTCAGCGCAGTCATATGGGAGAGGGCGAGGAAGGCGTGGAACATCGTCAGAATCCCAGCCCCAAAGGATGTTCGAACAAGTGGTACTCATTTTTGATGATATGCTTTGTTGCTAGGAGAAGTACAGGCTCATCAGCGAGATGACTCCTCTGGAGCGAAAGTTCCTCAAGGGATGGTGCTCGGCTGTTGATGCTGTCGTGCAGATGGCAACCAGAAAGAGGAAGCAACAACGATGGAAAGAGCCAGCCATGCCAGCAGGATTTCATGAAGTGCATCCTCGCATGTTACAGCTGGGCATAGACTCTTGCAGCACGATGTACACCCAGTTGCTTTGCATGGATGTGAAGCCTTTGTGGGCCAAGGCGGGTTTGCTGGCGCTTTTAAGTTGGTGGATGACCAGCGTGAAGGCTGCTGGCGTACGGGGTACCTGAGGGCGGTCAGCGACCCCGTGCCGGACTGTCTCATCATCCTGGTGCGTTGGAGGCTGCGAGGCCAGTCATCACGAGTTAGAGAACCGTCGTATGCGAGGCAGAAAATGTCCAACTCAGAGGCAGTTTCTGGTTCAGCCTCGATCTGCTCAAAATTGGCACCCAACTCTGGCCCAACACCCTCAGTTCCAGCCCTCAGGTGCCCTTGGTGCAGCTGCCAGGGTATTTCCTGCCTCTTCGTGGCGCCCCAGCTGTATTATAGAGGCTTAAATAATTCTAATATTGATCCTAAAGTTCCTGGGCTGTGCTTTCGGAGTGTTTTTAATTTCTGTGGTTTTGCTGGGTCTTGGTATACAACGATTGATTGTATGGTTTGTAGTGTCAAACAACCATAAGTTTGTAGTGTCAAACAACCATAAGCCACGTTAGCTCAAGCTGCCACTCGAAACGAATTGTCAGTGGTAATTTACCACTGACAATTCGCTTCGAGTGTCAGCAAGCTTCTCATGTGAACATCGCCCTCACCGTGGATCACCTCGAGGGTCAGCGTGGAGCCCTAGAGTGCAGAGTCATGCTGGTGTTTGCGGCAAGACCCATTCGCCGCTGCGGCAAGACCCATTCGCCGCTAGCAGGGTCAGGGTCTGAGGGTAGCATCTAAGAGAGAGTCATGCGGCATGGACCATTCGCCGCCGAGAGCTAGGATGAGAGTCATGTTCTTATCGTCTGCTAGAGTCAGATGCCATAGGTAGTTCGGCAGAGTGTCATAGCAGTGACTTGCAAGAGCAGTTTGTCAGTGTCAGGTACCACATTGCATCACCGAGGCCAGACCTTCCAGTGTCAAGCGATGGCAGGACACTGAGCGATTGCAGTCAGGGTCATCGCCTGAGAGCGCAGATGCATCCGGAGTGCAGTGTCATTTTGTGCGGCATGACCCATTCGCCGCTAGCAGTGTCAGGGTTTGAGTGTAGCATCTAATCTAAGAAAGAGTCATGCGGCATGGACCATTCGCCGCCGAGAGCTAGGATGAGAGTCATGTTGTTCAATGATTATTTTCGTCGTCGTCTATTTTAATAATTAAATGACATATTTAGTTTAATATTTAAATTTAATTATAATAAATAAATATTATTCAATAAATGATGCCATAGGTAGGTCGGCAGAGTGTCATAGCAGTGACTTGCAAGAGCAGTTTTTGTCAGTGTCACATATAACAATAATAATTTCAATTTAATATAATAATTAAACACATTGCATCACCGAGGCCCGACCTTCCAGTGTCAAGCGATGGCAGGACACTGGGCGATAGCAGTCGGGGTCATCGCTTCAGAGTGCAGTGTCATTTTGTTGCGGCATGACCCATTCGCCACTAGCAGTGTCAGGGTTTGAGTGTAGCATCTAAGAGAGAGTCATGCGGCATGGACCATTCGCCGCCGAGAGCTAGGATGAGAGTCATGTTCAATCATCATCTAAGCTGCTAGAGTCACATGCCAAGAGTGTCACAGCAGTGACTTGCAAGAGCAGTTTGTGAGTGTCACATGCATCACATTGCATCACTGAGGCCAGACATTCCAGTGTCAAGCGATGGCAGGACACCGAGCGATTGCAGTCAGGGTCAGCGCCTGAGAGCACAGAGGCATCCAGGGTGTAGTGTCATGTTGTTGCGGCATGACCCATTCGCCGCTAGCAGTGTCATGGTCTGAGGGTAGCATCTAAAAGAGTCATGCGGCATGGACCATTCGCCGCCGAGAGCTAGGATGAGAGTCATGTTCTTATCATCTATCTGCTAGAGTCAGATGCCATAGGTAGGTCGGCAGAGTGTCATGGCAGTGACTTGCAAGAGCAGTTTTTGTCAGTGTCACATAATATATCACATTGCATCACCGAGGCCCGACCTTCCAGTGTCAAGCGATGGCAGGACATTGGGCGATTGCAGTCAGGGTCATCGCTTCAGAGTGTAGTGTCATTTGGTTGCGGCATGACCCATTCGCCGCTAGCAGTGTCAGGGTTTGAGTGTAGCATCTAAGAGAGAGTCATGCGGCATGGACCATTCGCTGCCGAGAGCTAGGATGAGAGTCATATTGTTCAATTATCGTCTATTAATCTGCTAGAGTCACGTGCCATAGGTAGGCCGGCAGAGTGTCATAGCAGTGACTTGCAAGAGCAGTTTTGTGAGTGTCACATGTATCACATTGCATCACTGAGGCCAGACCTTCCAGTGTCAAGCGATGGCAGGACACCGAGCGATTGCAGTCAGGGTCAGCGCCTGAGAGCACAGAGGCATCCAGGGTGTAGTGTCATGTTGTTGCGGCATGACCGAATTCGCCGCTAGCAGTGTCATGGTTTGAGGGCAAAATCTAAGAGAGTCATGCGGCATGGACCATTCGCCGCCGAGAGCTAGGATGAGAGTCATGTTCTTATCGTCTATTATTATCTGCTAGAGTCAGATGCCATAGGTAGGTCGGCTGAGTGTCATAGCACTGACTTGCAAGAGTTGTATTATCAGTGTCACATGTATCACATTGCATCACCGAGGCCCGACCTTCCAGTGTCAAGCGATGGCAGGGCACTGGGCGATTGCAGTCAGGGTCATCATCGCTTCAGAGTGCAGTGTCATTTTGTTGCGGCATGACCCATTCGCCGCTAGCAGTGTCAGGGTTTGAGTGTAGCATCTAAGAGAGAGTCATGCGGCATGGACCATTCGCTGCCGAGAGCTAGGATGAGAGTCATATTGTTCAATTAAATTATCGTCTATTAATCTGCTAGAGTCACATGCCATAGGTAGGCCGGCAGAGTGTCATAGCAGTGCCTTGCAAGAGCAGTTTTGTGAGTGTCACATGTATCACATTGCATCACTGAGGCCAGACCTTCCAGTGTCAAGCGATGGCAGGACACCGAGCGATTGCAGTCAGGGTCAGCGCCTGAGAGCACAGAGGCATCCAGGGTGTAGTGTCATGTTGTTGCGGCATGACCCATTCGCCGCTAGCAGTGTCATGGTCTGAGGGTAGCATCTAAAAGAGTCATGCGGCATGGACCATTCGCCGCCGAGAGCTAGGATGAGAGTCATGTTCTTATCATCTATCTGCTAGAGTCAGATGCCATAGGTAGGTCGGCAGAGTGTCATGGCAGTGACTTGCAAGAGCAGTTTTTGTCAGTGTCACATAATATATCACATTGCATCACCGAGGCCCGACCTTCCAGTGTCAAGCGATGGCAGGACATTGGGCGATTGCAGTCAGGGTCATCGCTTCAGAGTGTAGTGTCATTTGGTTGCGGCATGACCCATTCGCCGCTAGCAGTGTCAGGGTTTGAGTGTAGCACCTAAGAGAGAGTCATGCGGCATGGACCATTCGCTGCCGAGAGCTAGGATGAGAGTCATATTGTTCAATTATCGTCTATTAATCTGCTAGAGTCACGTGCCATAGGTAGGCCGGCAGAGTGTCATAGCAGTGACTTGCAAGAGCAGTTTTGTGAGTGTCACATGTATCACATTGCATCACTGAGGCCAGACCTTCCAGTGTCAAGCGATGGCAGGACACCGAGCGATTGCAGTCAGGGTCAGCGCCTGAGAGCACAGAGGCATCCAGGGTGTAGTGTCATGTTGTTGCGGCATGACCGAATTCGCCGCTAGCAGTGTCATGGTTTGAGGGCAAAATCTAAGAGAGTCATGCGGCATGGACCATTCGCCGCCGAGAGCTAGGATGAGAGTCATGTTCTTATCGTCTATTATTATCTGCTAGAGTCAGATGCCATAGGTAGGTCGGCTGAGTGTCATAGCACTGACTTGCAAGAGTTGTATTATCAGTGTCACATGTATCACATTGCATCACCGAGGCCCGACCTTCCAGTGTCAAGCGATGGCAGGGCACTGGGCGATTGCAGTCAGGGTCATCATCGCTTCAGAGTGCAGTGTCATTTTGTTGCGGCATGACCCATTCGCCGCTAGCAGTGTCAGGGTTTGAGTGTAGCATCTAAGAGAGAGTCATGCGGCATGGACCATTCGCTGCCGAGAGCTAGGATGAGAGTCATATTGTCAATTAAATTATTATCGTCTATTAATCTGCTAGAGTCACATGCCATAGGTAGGCCGGCAGAGTGTCATAGCAGTGCCTTGCAAGAGCAGTTTTGTGAGTGTCACATGTATCACATTGCATCACTGAGGCCAGACCTTCCAGTGTCAAGCGATGGCAGGACACCGAGCGATTGCAGTCAGGGTCAGCGCCTGAGAGCACAGAGGCATCCAGGGTGTAGTGTCATGTTGTTGCGGCATGACCCATTCGCCGCTAGCAGTGTCATGGTCTGAGGGTAGCATCTAAAAGAGTCATGCGGCATGGACCATTCGCCGCCGAGAGCTAGGATGAGAGTCATGTTCTTATCATCTATCTGCTAGAGTCAGATGCCATAGGTAGGTCGGCAGAGTGTCATGGCAGTGACTTGCAAGAGCAGTTTTTGTCAGTGTCACATAATATATCACATTGCATCACCGAGGCCCGACCTTCCAGTGTCAAGCGATGGCAGGACATTGGGCGATTGCAGTCAGGGTCATCGCTTCAGAGTGTAGTGTCATTTGGTTGCGGCATGACCCATTCGCCGCTAGCAGTGTCAGGGTCTGAGGGTAGCATCTGAGAGTCATGCGGCATGAACCAGAGCTAGGAAGAGAGTCATGTTCTGATTCAAGGTGCTGACTTTAA